AAAAAAAAAAAAAAAAAAAAAAAGGAGGGATGGGACAAAGGCCACACCCCTGCTGGGAAGGAGCAGCTGGGACAAGGCCCCTGTGTGGCCTGAAGGGACAGGGCTCAATGACACCCAATGGAGTCAGATCTGAGTCAGGAGGCTGGGAAATAAGAAGGGAGGAGGCAGGGAGTCATGCTCTGGAAGGATTGGGGACTGGAACCTATGCACAATAATGCTCTCTCTGAGAGTCACAAGCTCAGGAGACCAAGAGCCTGAGACCATAACCCAGGAACTGACACGACCTCTCAGGCGTCACCAGGCAGCACAAGGTCACAGACAACAGGTGTGTTCTCACTGCAACGCTCAGGCCTGCCAGAAGGGGCAGAAGTGTGGCCCCTCAGTACCAAACATGTGGGCAGGAACACACTGCCCCCCACCCCACCCTGGCCCCGGCATTCACGTGCTTCTGAGTCCAAATCTATGACATTCCCTAAGAGGCGACAACAGACACAACCTTTGCCAGCAGAGCAGAATGTGGTCCAGCAGGAGACAGAGAACGAATGAGAAATTATGTGGTGTGGTCAGAGCCCGGCTTCCCCCAGAGAGGTGCCGAGGATCATGGAGATTGAACGTCAGAGAGTAGAACAAAAGTGGCCCTGATCTGATCGGGAAGATGCCCCAGAGCACCAGGTCTTGTTGGGGGCAGGCGGCCTCCAAGCAAGTGGGGCAGATATGGCAATGTCCCCTGAGATAAAGAGGCCACCTTGGCCTGCGGGCTCTCCCCAGCACCCTCCAAAGCGGCAGGTGGCTGACCAGTCCAGTTGGGGCTTGGTCACGCTCCTCAACTTCCAAAGAAGGGTGTCAACTCTCACATCTGGGCCTCAACTCTCCAGGTCTGCATCACCAGCCCACAGAACACCCCCCTTCAAAATCTTGCCAGAGGACGTGGCTGCAATTTTTGGCTGTCCCATTTCACCCAAGGCCCCAGTCAGCGGCCAAAGGGGGAGGCCAGGCCTCCCACGACCATCCTGTCTGGCCCTCTGCAGATCTGTCTGGATGGGGCTACATCTGGGGTCCGCCCTTGGCCTTTACTGAAGGACACTGTGGGAAAGAGCATCCTCAAACCAAGACCCTGGCACTGGAGAAGCAGTGCAGAGGCTGGTACAGACCATGATCATCCCTCGATGAAGCCCCAGAGAGAAAAACGCCTCCTACAGCCGAATGTGCTTCTGACAACAGGTTCTTCAAGGCGCCTGACCACCACCGCAGCTTTCCCTCCCTCTCCGGCCACTATCAAGTTCAGAGTCAGGTCAGCCTCCAAGAAGACTGCACTGGAGCGCCTGGCGCCCCAGAGGCTCCATGACACGGGGTCTCGGCATCGCCTGCTCCTCTGCCCCAGGCAGGTCTTCTCCTGGCACGTGCTCACGAAACCTCCCTATAAAGGGCTGTCCCCCAACACATTCATATGTCGCAGTCCTAACCCCACCCCGCACAGCAGAACGGGGCCCTATTGGGAAAGAGCTGTCACAGATGTAACTCATGAACATGAGGTCACACCGGAGCAGGATGGGCCTCCAATCCAGTAACTGTGCCCTCAGAAAAAGGGGGAATTTGGACAAAGGTGCGCACAGGGAGAACGCCAAGTGAAGACGCAGGCAGCGGCCCAGGTGACGCTTCCATGAGCCTAGGACCGCCAGAGAGGCCAGCGACCCCCAGGCCAGGGGAGAGCCCGGGACAGACTCTCCCTCATGGCCGCAGAAGGAACTAACCTGGCCACACACCTTGGTCTCGGACGTATGGCCTCCAGAGCTGTGAGGACAAATCCCTGTTAACACCCCCACCCCCCAAGACCATTTGTGGTGCTTTGTCATGGCGGTCCTAAGAAACAAACCCACTCACCTGACCGCCTGATTCGCCCCGGAGCCCCCCACCCACAAGCAGTGCCCAGCCCCCTCCACCACCGCCGCCTCCGTGTAAATGTTCCCCGTGGCATTTATCTTGGTCTGACATCCTGTATGTTTCACTTATTTAGCTGTGTAGAACACTCGATGAGGGCACAACTTTTGTCTTTGCTGCTGTATCACCAGCACCTAGAACAGATGCAGGTGGACAGCAGGCATTCAGCGACTAAATGCCGAACGAGGGAATAAAAGCAATTGCTGTTATTATTAATAACGCCCGCCTAACTGCACCGCAGGCTCCTGGGCTCTGTTTGCGGCTAATCCAAGCTACACTGTTCTGGTTCCTGGTGTTCACCTCCCACGTTGGGCTGGGGAAGCTGCCAGGCAGGGGTGGTAAGTGCCCAGAGCCACAGCACTCGTTTCAAACCCTGACTTTGCCCCGCTCTACCTGTGTGACCTTGGGAGACCTGTCACAAGTCTACACATCAGCTTCTTCAACCCTAAATTGGGGATCATCTCTCCCAGGCTGGGGTGAGGAAACCAGAGACAAGGTATGGAAGGACCTGGCCCATTACAGGCCCTTGACAGGTACCGGTCACGTGAATCACACAAGATCAGTGCTGTGCCACACTCAGCCTGTCACCTCCACACACACACCCACTGGGGTTGTCTGGACTGCCGTCACAGGGCACAGGGATCGGGAAACTCCTTACACCCTACTCAGATCAAGGAATGACGTTACAACCACAGAGGACAGAGTGAATGCCAGTGAGGTCAAGGGCACATCCAGGCGGGCCGCGGGGTGCCATGATCGCAGAGCCTGGGGGGCAGGCGAGCCTTTGGAAAGGTCCTGCCTTTGTGGGTGAGAAATGGGGCATCAACCTTGGGGATAGCCTGCAGTTCCCGTAATGTGCTAGCCAGTATGTCTCCTGCAGCACACCTGTGTCCATAAGAGGCACACGTTGGCCCCTGTAGACACCTCTGCCCAGAACACCCTCGTGTCCCCACCCCGGCCCTCCTTACCCCTACCTCCTCCTGCTCTCCTATGTCTCAACTCTGACTTTGAGGGAAACTCTCAGTGCCTTACGAGTTGGGTGGAGCCCATGTGAGGTCCAGTCAGATGGTGGTCTGGGAATTAACATCTGTGTTAACACATGAGCTAGCTGAGGGCACCCATCGGCCATGGAACCCAGAGCCAGGCAGAGGGCTTGGCCCCCAGAACACACTTGTGTAATGAAGAGTTTTCAGCATTTGAATAAGAGTAACTGCCCTCCTGGCATTAACAAACATTTTCTAAATACAACAGATCTTTCCTAACAGACTGGGAGCTTTGGGCTGAGAATAAACAACGCGGAGCTGGTGGAGAGGAACAAAAGTCACTAGACACGTGGAAAGGCTGTGACACGTGGCTTCCTTCACCAGGCTCCACAGTGGAAGGAGCCTCTGGGAGCCCGTGCTGGCCACAGAGATGTGTGGGCAGCGCTCCTGCCCTCGGGGACCACGCGACAGGGCCTGTGTGCACGCAGGTCTAGTCCACGGGGGGGTTTAGGGACGATTAAACCACTGAGCAATGCATATCACAAACACTTCAACAGCAGAAATGGAACACCGCCCTCCAAATGAACATGTGCTGCGAACAGCCAGACTGCAAGACTTCCCTGGCAGGCGGGAAGAAATCCGGGTTCCCAGGGCCACCCCACAGTGTGACTGGGGAGGCCCAAGCCGCAACCCTGGGAACCTTTATGGCAAAAGTACCCCAGGTGGCTCTGATGTCCCGGGAAGCTTAGGAAGCCCAGCCCTGATATAAAGCCCAAGAGGGACCTTTCTGGACACCCACATGAAGCGGAGGGATGGGAGATGGGGTGGGAGGACCCAGCAGGTCCAAAGGCTCAGAGGGCAATCTCACTCCACGTGGCTTCCTGTCGAGGGAGAGGACGCCGGCAGGCATGCGTCTCAGGAACAACGGCTGACCTGCCAGATCTACAGGTGAAGTGGGTGGGCATGGTACCCCAGGCTGCTGCAAGAAGCAAGGTCAGGGCACCAGCCTGGGGCGGTGGGAGGAGGCCTATTCGAGGAGGGTGCAGTAGGGAGTAAAGGTCGGGAAAACACCAAAGTCGTCCAGGTTGGGTCTGGAGCTGCACAAGATCACATGAGCCAGAGGACAGACACTTGGGGATGGGGAGGAGGCGGGGCTCTGGACCAAGAGCAGGAGGGGGGGGTAAGTGGCAGCAGCTGAGAACATGAGGGCGGGGGAAGCTGTCCTGTGAGGCCTGGGGGACCTGCCCGCTCGTCCCAGGAAGCCACCACAGCCCTTCAACTGGGAGTGACTCTGGTGGCTCCCTTGCATCCCTCAAGTCACCGGTCAACACGAAGCCACCCCCCAGAACATCCCCCACCATGTACCTCCGCAACACTTACCTCTGCCACACAGGACTTTCGGTTTATTATTGGAACGTGCTCACACACATGCGTGTACACACACACACGCCCCTCCATGAGAGCAGGAATTCATCTGTTCACTGTCTGACACATAGCAGGTACTCAAGAAACATTAGCAAATGCATGTTTGATGACCTGGCTGTGACTGGGGAGGAAGGGAGAGACCTTGGCAGGGAGGGCGTGAGGGACAATGCTGCTGCTGTCGCTGCGGCAACAAACCAGGAGGGAACAGGAGGGCAAGGCCAGACACATGCTCGCTCGGCACAAGGACGGCACACCCTGGGCCGGGGAGAGGACTGCCCTCGATTAAGTGCCCTTCACGGTGACTCTCCCTTTGCTCACGGGGCTGAGGAGGCTGAGAGGCACCAGCATGGCCTGGGGTGGTCTGACATGCAATGCTTCAACTCTAAGCAGACAGGAGGCACCCCAGATACCCCAAATGCACCAGGGCTCCGAGAAATGGCCAAGCCAATGGTCCCTTTGATAATGATGGTCAAGTAAGGGGAAGATCCCTCGCCCAGGTGAGGTCAGGGAGGTCGCTCCCCCAGGCCGGGGGGCCCAGCACAGACCCCTGGAGGCCAGGAACGAGGTGGCGATGGCAGCTCTTTACCTTAATGGTTTTTGACTGGAGCCGTAGGCCATTCAGCGTGTTGATCGCTCTCTCCGCGTCCTTGGCAGTCACGTAGTTCACAAAGCCATAGCCCAAGCTGTGCCCTGTGTGGGAGAACACGTGCACACTGGTAAACCGACCGACAGCCAGGGAGGGTGAACAGGACCATGTGCGACTGGGCTCCAAAGGACAAGGTCGTTAAAAGCCATGGCCTCCTGGAAGTGGGGTTAGAAGACCCACGGTCACCATCACGCTTCTTTGGCCGACATGTAAATTTTCTACAATGGACAAGTATTACTTTTATTAATTTTTTTTTCTTTAAAAGGGCCGTTTAAAAAGAAACACTGTGCTACTAACGGCATCCCGTGGAACCCATCACAAAAGCAATGATGATGATCGATGCCCCCAGTCCCGGCTGAGATGTGGGGACTCCAAGGGTGAGGAGAGAGGACGGTCACGAGTGGGCGAGATGGGCAGGTGGGGAGAGCTGCATGATGGCCACCCGTCTGCGTCCAGGGGTTTCTCCCCTGCTTGCACCCCAACAGCGGGAAGGCTTGCTGGGCTCTAGTGCCACCCAGTGCTGGTTCCCTCACTTGCCCGAACACCTACAACCCAGCTAAAAAGCAGATGACGTGGAGCACAAAGGGAAGCTGGAGCTGAGGGAAGTCCCCGGCCGGCCGTGCACCTGCCTTCACGGCCCCGGCCAGGCCTCCAGGCTTCCCCTGCCAGCGGCTGTCATGTGACAGCACCATCAGCCCAAGTCCAAGGGATAACAACACCTGAGCTCTTCCCAAAGGAAGCCAAGGTTACGCGTGGGTGTCCCCACCTCTTCTTTGGGAAACACTGAAGTGGCAGGAGTGACCGCCAACGGCATGCTACGGGAGGGATGCAGCCCAGCAGGGGAGGGGCTGTGGGTTCCCAGGAGCCCAGAGAGCAGCCAAGGCCGAGGGGCCCAGTGGAAGGAGGCCTGTCCTTTCGCTACAGAGGACAGGCAGGAGGCGGCCCAGAGAGGAGAACTGACATGCCCACTGCTTACCCACCCACACGCCGTGCTGGCGGGCAGCCACCGAATGCTAGGCACGGCTCTGGGCACAGAGATAGAGTGGTGAGCTTCGCTCCATTCCTCTGGTTGGTGGAGGGCGATAACAAGCAGGTAGAAAACATGCCAGGCCTTGAGCCGCATGAGGCGGGGGTCTCTGGGTGCCGGCTGAACCCAGACCCTCAGGTGGATAATGAGATGTGGAACCCAGCAGAGAGCCTAACCCAGTTTTGCCACTTCTTAAAAAAAAACCCTAAACACTTTTATTTTTATTGCATCTAAAGAGAAATTACAAAGATAATAGAAAGAGTTCCCACAGACCCCATACCCCGTTTTCCCCGGTGGTAACATCTTATATCCGGATGGGACATCTGTCACAACCGAGGAACCAATGCTGATACATTACAATTAACCGCAGTCCACACTTGATTTAGATTGCCTCAGTTTCCCCCCAAAGTCCTCTTACGTCCCAGGAGGCCACACAGGATCTCACATGACATGTAGTCTGTCACGTCTCCTTAGGTTGCTCTTGGCTGGGACAGCTCTCAGACTTTCCTCGTTTTTGATGACCTTGAGAGTTTCGAGGAGGACTGGTCAGGAATTCTGTAGACTCTCCTGCAGCTTGGGTTCGTCAGATGTTTTTCTCATGGCGAGACTGCAGTGGGTGATGGGTTTTGGGAGGAAGACCCCAGAGCGAGGGGCCCTCCTCCTGACATCGTACTGGGGGCTGCGTGCTGTCACCATGACCTATCGCTTTGTTAGTGTTGGCGCTGGCCAGGATCCTCCGAGGCCGGCGGTTCCTCCACTGAAAAGTCCCCCCCTCCCCCAAAACCGTAGGCTTTGGAAGGAAGTCCGTGCGTGGTCCATGCCCCAGGAGCACCTCGCGGAGGTGTACTCCCTCCTTCAGGGCACAGCAACTACACAAGCCACCTGCAGTGCTGCACGGGCCGCTTTCCTTTTGAAAGAAACAAACCCAAACCTGCCCTTCCACAACCATATTTCCAACAAAACCCCATGGGTCTCAGAGACTTATTAGCTCCTAAACCCCAGAGAGCGAGGACCCCAGAGCAGCGGGGCTGTGGGGCTGGCGCCCAACTAGCAAGAAAGTCAGAATCAGAAGTTCAGAAAACAGTACAGAAAACCACAACTGGCTCCAGGCTGGGAACTTTAGGACCCTCGCAAAAGGTCCAAACTGCAAACATTAAAGCTGAGAATGCAGAATGTCTATGGTACAGACTCCTGACTGAACTCCAGGCTTGCTGGGATTTTTGCTCCCAAACACCTGCTCTCCAACCCCTGCTCTGCCCATCTGTCACCACACCCAGGCCATGGAGCCCGTTGGCCTGACCGCCGGATGGACTCTCTGCCTCTTCGGTCGGCACGACCCACACTTGTGTCTTCTCGTCTTTCTGCTCTTCCCACAAGGCCAAGCCCAACCCTAGACCACCTATCTCCTCCACTGCCAGTGCCACAGGTGGCCCAGGTCCTGCTAGGGGAGACCAGACACTGATGAGGACTCGTACCTGGGCCACACTCCTGTGTCTCAGCCACAGCTGGCTGCTCTTGGCATATAAACATGGGTCCTGCCCGACTCTCGGGTCCTGATTCCTTGCCTCCCAGGCACTTGGTGGCCCGGCCCCAGGGTGGTCACTGCAGACTGCCAGTCTACCGAGGCAGTCCGACCATCAGGTGCCACCCCCAGAGACGGTCAGGACGCAGCTCCCCGAGCTCTCAGCAGCACTGGGCACGGCCGACTCACTTGAGGGGTCACCTCCCCCAGAATGGAGCAGCAACGCCAGGTTTTCTTTCTCTGGGTTTTCCTTCTCCCCAGCTGTCCCTTCCCAAGCTTAGTCTTCTACCCATCCCACTGAGATGACCCCCAGATTTCTGCCCTTGGCTCTCATGCCAGCCGCACTCTTCCTGGGTAGCCTCCCAGGACAACTGCCAACGTCACCCAGGAAGTCACACACCCTCAAGCGGCCACTGCCTCCTTTCCTAGGCCTGCTTCCCTTCCGGTTCTCGTCAATGAGTTGACAAGTATTAAGTGAGCACCTACTATGTGCCAGGCCCCAGGCCAGGCTGGCCAGGGGGTTTGATGATCACAGCGGAAGACAGTTTGTGCCTTAACGGTTGATGGGCCAGCCGACGGCAAAGCAGCAAGAAACTAACCAACAAAACTGCCGCCCGGGGCGCTATAAGGAAAATTTCCACGGTGGTGTGAGGGACTCATGAGTGTGAGGCCCATGGTGGACAGGGTGGTCAGAAGCACCCAGTGAGGAGCCAACACTTGCGGCATGACCCTGGGATGGCTGGTGGCAAGCAGCCCAGACAGAAGAGCAGGTGCCAAGCCCGTGAGGCAGAGGAGACTTTGGTGTGTTCCAGGAAACGAAAGGCAGCCAGCACAGTTGAACAAGACGAGCTGGGGAATGGCCCAGAGGTGGCTGCTGGGTGGGGGTGGGGGTGGGGGTGGGGGGGACAGGCTGCCAGGCAGAGCCCGGGAGCGAGGCTGGGCAGGGAGGTGCCAGGGGGCGGGCAGCAGAAGGCAGAGCCACCGAAAGGCCCACAGATGGGCTGCTGTAGGAGGGAGCTTCATGGGGAGGGATCTCTGTACACCCTGTTCTGGGCTGGCCCTGTCCCCTGAGAGTCTATCCAACCCTCTACAGCGGGCACCTGCATGCTGTGGGAGGGAAGGCAGGTGAGGAGTGAAGAGGAGCCCTGGATTGCACCCACCGGATGAGGCCACTGGCGAAAGTGCCTAACACAGTGCCGAGTCCCTGCCTCCACCTGGCCGCTCACCATAAACCAACTGCTCTCGACTTTGGCTGCTTGCCAGAATCACCAGAGCAGTTTCTAAAAACTATCACTGCCCAGGCCAGAACCTGAACCAGTATCAGCATGGGGATGGGGTGTAGTAAGAGTGGGGGTGGCTTCAGCAGTTTTTAAAGCCCCCCAGCGATCCCAATGTGGAGCCCAGGTTGAGAGCTGCTGCTGGAAGTGAATGAGGAAGAGTGGGGCTCCCCAGTTCTGCAGACCCTCAATGGTCTATACTCAGAGTGGGCACCTGGGGGAGGCCCTCACTTCCCAAAGCAGGCCCCCAAGTTCCTGTTTCTCTAACAGGGTCTATCAGCCGTGCAGGGTAATGACACAGCTCCCGAGGGCCTGCCTCAAGCTCAAGGACCCAAGAGGTCAGGCAGGTGGACTTCCAATCTCCTTACACATGATTCTCCTGTCCCTTAGACACGGTGAGCCTACTAGAATCAAGGCCACGAAGACCCATCAGGTGCTGCTCCCTCATTTAGGGCAGTGGAAGACAAGCCCTGACAGAGGAAGGTCTGGGGCCTGGTGGTGGAACAGGGGCAGCGCTCAGGCAGGGCACAGATCCTGCACAGGCTGCTGGGACTTACAGAGGGCAGGCAGGGCCTGCCTGGGGTCGGTGCTGGCAGGGGAGGTCAAGCAGACCCCCAGGGTGAAGATCTAGAGGAGGGGGAAGGGGCAGCAGATGAGAAAGAGAATGGCCAAGGATGAAGCATAAATAAACTCTGGGTTTGAGGCCAACGGATATCCCAGAAGCCAGGGCTCCCCCCAGCTCACGCCATCCCCGCACTGCGGGAAGAGCTCGGCTTCTTTCACTTGGTCCTGAACCAGAACTGCCGTCCTCCAGAAAGCTTACATCACAGATGTTCAAACAGCCCAGACTGGCTGACTGAGCAGGCCTGGGCAGGGCCTGACACTAGGGTCTCTCCTGGTGGCCAGCAGGCCAAGAGCCGCTGCCTGGAGAATATGGAGGCTGCCTCCTTGTGAGCACTACTCATGCCCTGCCGGGTGGCCTCTGAGCCAATGCTCTTCCATTTCCAAACACCACTCTCTCTAGACAAGGTTATTTATTTATCTTGAGAGAGAGAGCAAGCGAGCGAGCAGGGGAGGGGCAGAGAGAAAGGGACAGAGAATCCCAAGCAGCCAGCGCAGAGCCCGATGTAGAACTCGAACCCATGAACCACGAGATCACGACCCAAGCCGAGATCAAGAGTCAGACGGTTAACCAACAGAGCCACCCAGGCACCCCTA